TATTAGTATCTATACTAGTTTCAAAAATAATTTTGAACTTTTAAAGGCAATTATAACATGATGTTGACCCGGGTCAATTAAATCATGACCCGACCCGACCCGTTCTGGTCAACCCGCGAGTTGACTCGGGTCGACCCGACTCGTTTCGGAGCTCTAGTAATACTCATACTTACCCAATGTATCATATACAGAGTAAACATCTCTTTTTTCTAATGATTGATATTAAAATTAATAAAACTTGTTTGCCATTGATTATCTTTATGCTATAAGTGTTATATATATAAATAAAATATTTTTAAATACATGAAACACCTCTATTCTAGCTCCAAATTAACTCCATTTTTTGAAGAATCTGAGCTTTCTATTGGTATGTTTGTTATGTCCTGTAAAATGATTTGTTGTAAAATATAAATTACTTTGAAAGTTATGAATTTCATATCTATGGATTTATTATAAATTTATTATTTTATATTTAAGAAATAAATAAATGTGACTAAAAAATTATCCATCAGCAATTCTCCATTTTAACTACTCACATTAGTAGTTAATAAAATTAATTTAACTCGCCTCATAATTTAATAAATAAGCTTTCATAATATCTGATTCATTTTTTTTATAATTAATTTCTCTATAACAAACATCTTAGTAAACACCATCTATAATGAACAAATGCAGAAAAATTACATATAAGGTTGGAAGGTTTGTTATAGAGTGAACTGTAAATTATTTACAATTAATATTTTAATTAAATTATACATATACAAATAATAATAATAAATATAAATAAGAATTGAAAGTAGGAAGTTATCCCAGGATCTGTCAGGTTTTGACTACTCTAAAAGTTCTTTGACAATATATTATCAAAATTTGCTTGCAGCAAATCAATACTAGTAGGTTCTGTTAAAATAGTATTGGGATGACTGAAAGAACTACTATCCTCATTTTTTTGTTGCTTGTCATTTTTCTCTTTATCAACTATATTTGAGCTTGAAACCATTCCATTAAGCCTTGTTTCAACATATTGAATGTCAGGCCTGCTTTCTGGGTCATCCTGCCAACATGCTACATACAAGCAAATGATTAACAAAATTTAATGCATATAAATATATACTGTAATTTTTAAATATATATGTGTATATATTTTACCTTTGTATAAATTAATGTACTCATCAGGTGTATTAGGAATAGGTTCCTCACGAATTCCTTGAGAAATATCAAGTGCCAAGGTAAACCTTCGATAATCTTCCAGATTACTAAAAGGTGGTCGGTTACTAGTCAATTCCCATAATAAAACACCCACACTGTATACATCTGATTTTTTGTTTTTTTTATATGCTTTTTTACTGAAACATTGTGGGTCAATATAAGGTAGCATTCCTGTTAATTGTGATGCTGAAGTGGTTGTAGAATCAAATATTTTACGGGAAAGTCCAAAATCTGCCAATTTTATTGTTTTTTGGTGAACCAAGAAATTTTTTGAATGCTTTTCAAAAAAGATAAACATTATTAAATATAATTTTTTTTTAAAAATAATAAATTTATATAATGTGAAATTATTTAATTACCAAATCTCGATGGATAATATTGTTTTCATGTAGACATAAAACAGCTGATGCAATCTCATATGCAAATTTCAGTTTTAGATCCCAACTTATTGACTCAAAATTTTCACATAGATAGCTTCTTAGTGTTCCACTATCTGCATACTCAAGGACCAATAAATATTTATCTTTACCTTTATATATAAATATAAATATTAGATTATTACTTGATGGAGAAAATTGAAATAGGAAATAATTTAAACATACTTTCATTCTTAGTGACACCATAAAAATGAATAATATTTTGATGGTAGTCAACTTTACGTAATAATTTCAACTGATTGAGCCAATTATTATTGTTAGTTGAAAATTTTTTTTTAATCCACAACCAAAAATATATTGTAATTTACCTCATTAATATCTTCTTTGTATTTATCTTTATCATCGTCAACACCATCATGTTCTTTATGTTTAAGGTAATCATCACCATCTTTTTTACAATCGTCGTTGTTGTCATTATGATAGTCATCATTATGTTTATCATGATCTTTGTCTTCTCGATGCACCCTTTTTTCTACTACTACAATCGAACTTCTTTTTCTTTGTTTATTATCTCTGTCCATTCCATCTTGATCTCTACCATCATTTCCATCGGTTCCATCACGATCTCCATCACGATCTCCATCATCATCTCCATCTGTCTCGCTACGATCTCCGTCATCGTTACCAGTTCCATCACGATCTCTATCATCTGTTCCATTACCACCATCGCCATTACCACCGTCGCCATTACCACCGTCGCCATTATCACCGTCGCCATTATCACCGTCGCCATCATCGCCATCAGTGTCTGGTTGTGGTTGTTGAGGCGTCGTTGCCGCTGGTGCTGATTGAATTGCGATCACAGCAATTGGTGGAATTTGTTGTTGTTGTTGATGATGTGAAAACCCAGAGCATCCGCTAAAACTTTGGAAATAATCAAATGGGCACGGATGACATAATCCATTATAAAAGAAGTTTTGTGGACATGATCCTAAACCTGCTTGTAACAATAATAATTGTTGTTGCTGCTGCTGTTGATCAGGTTGTTGTTGTTGATCTTGTCTATTATTTCCATCATCCCCGTTATCTCCATTATTTCCATTGTTCCCATTATTTCCATTATTTCCATTATTTCCATTATTTCCGCCATTCCCATTATTTCCACCATTCCCATTATTTCCATTAT